GTGGACGGGTCTGCTTCGGAAGGGCATAAATTAGTGGAGTGGGATGTGGATGAACATTAGTCCCTGGCCTTGTCTTATAGTTAGGATAACCTTATGCCTATCCCACGCATGCTTAAACATCTTTAACCTCTACCACTTCAGCTGGAAGGCTATTCCATGCATCCACTACCCTCTCAGTAACATAATACTTACTATTTTTAAACCTTTGTCCCTCTAATTTAAGACTATGTCCTCTTGTTGTGGTAGTTTTTCTTCTTTTAAATATAGTCTCCTCCTTTACTGTGTTGATTCCCTTTATGTATTTAAATGTTTCTATCATATCCCCCGTCTTGTCTTTCCTCCAAGCTATACATGTTAAGATCCTTTAACCTTTCCTGGTAAGTTTTATCCCGCAATCCATGAACCAGGTTAGTAGCCCTTCTCTGAACTCTCTCTAAGGTATCAATATCCTTCTGAAGATACGGTCAAAGCTAATGACAATTTCCATACCGGGAGTCGAACCAGGGCCGCCTGGGTGAAATCCAGGAATCCTAACCGCTAGACCACTGCTAAGTTACCATAATTGTATGTTGTTTTCTACTAGATCTTGAGAAGCAATTAATAGAGACACCAAATTAACTGCTTTCCCATCTAAAATAATCTTACTGAGAGCAGGGGGGCAGGAAATCAGGTGTGCGGGGATAATGGCATGAGTGGAGGAGATAGTTGGGGGAAAGAGAGGGGTACTACCCTGCGTGCTGGGAGGTGCGGATGCCTTGGTTGTAACTGGTGGTGGGTTATTTGGATCTGTGCAGATATTTTCCAATTTTGTAACGCTCTCATTGATTGACTGCAGAGAGGTTAAGATAGTATCCAAAGTTCCTTGACTGTTCGCAGAACTGTCCGAGCTGTACCCCTGCCTAGGATCTCTTGGATATTTGAGAGCAGCCTAAAAAGTTCAGCCTTCCTTGCTGCGGCAGGGAAGGGGGATACCCCTACGGCGCAACTCATCTGAGATCCTGGGGAAGTTCCAAGACCTTAGTGATCCTGGTTTGAAAGGTTCTTGAAATTTAGTAGGGGTACCATGCATGACAGGTGTGCTAGGCCTAGCAGGAGTGCTGGGGGGGATGACTCTTTGCCCAGATTGGCTTCCTGTGACATAGTGTAAAAAAAAAAAATACAGATTAACAAGTTTCCTATGTTTGTAGAACGGACTTGCTAACTAGTGCCGAAACGAAAAAACTAACTACCCTGTGACAGATGAGGCCCTGCTAGTTGCCAAGCGGCAGAGGAGAGGCTCGATCTATGATTTGGACCATGGGGCTCGAGCCACTGAATGTTGTGGTGGGGTGTTGACTTCTCGGTGACATTAAAAGATTCTAAAAGGTGTGGCTGTGACAGGTGAGGCCCCAACTATAAACCCAAAAGGTGGGTGATGTGAGGCTCCACCTATGATGTGGGTCGATTGGGCGAAACCTCCATGTTGATGTGGGGAGTTGGCCTCGCGGGATTAAGCTAAGGCCAACACCTGACCCTATCCAGACAGTTCGCTAACCCTAAACGAGGACTTGATAAGAAAAACCACAAATTGTGAATTCTTGAAAAACAAGAGGTATTAGAGGAGATCTAGAAAAGTAAAATAAGCATAATCTAACTGCTATAGTGGGGGAGTTTAATTAAGCAGTACAGACAATTCTATTATGTGACAGATTTCCAAGAACCAAAATGGAAGGATAGAGTGATAGGACCTACATATTGTCACGTCCCCAGTGCCTCCATATAGCGTGGCCGCATCCGATCGATGCGGTAACGCTGTTAATAATAATAAAAAAATCAGCTTGCCATTCAGCACCCTCGTAGAGCGATCCCCGACCGGTGCGGCGTTCTAATGAACACTGACCGCTGTGGTCCCAAGCAACTATGCAGCCCCACCTCCGTCCTCAACAAAGATGGCGCCAATGTGCGTACATTTTGGGGTCAAAGGCTATGTATAACCAATCATAGCCTTAGGAGGGTTATTTAGACTCAAAATAGCATTTGGTCAGTGCCCTGTCGTGGTTTCCACTAGTTGGTTAACAGCGAGTGCGTTCCAATTCTAGTTCTTTTTGGTATTTGACTTTGGCTTGTATTTTGACTTCCCCGTATTTCTGGTATCTTTGACTTTTGGCTTGTTTCCCCATTGTTTCTCTTTCTGTGTCCCTGACCTTGGCTAGTATTTTGACCATTCTTTATTTACGTTAAGTCCGGCCATTTTAAGGCCCGGTACACGTTGTCCTTGTTCATTGTGTATTACACAGTTGTGCATCTTGGGTCATGACACATATATAAAAATATAACTAGATATGTACCAGACAAAGTTGAACTACATGCATAAGGATAAAACCTATTGTAATTCCAGGTGGATAGTATCACCAATATCAGGAGAAACAAAGGAAAACCTAAATAATGACTATAAACGTGATTTCACAGAACCAAGAGGAGGAGGACACCGTATCCATTCGTATGATGCAAGATTAGTGGATAATTGAGACATGAATGTATTATGGATTGATCGTGTTGTGCCGTGGCCTAATGAGACGAGGCAAGGCAAATAATCAAACCCTCATTCTCTAGGACTCCCTTTTTTTTGGATGTAATGTGGGGCGTAGTGAGGCCGAGCTTAGTATTTGAGAACCAAGTATAAGTGATATGAAAGTACAGAACTTAAAATACCTTGAAAATACAGGAGATAAATAAACAAACAGGAGATCCAGGATTAGAAAGGTTAGTTGATTCTTGCAATATCTGAAATTAATGGATGAAACACAGGAATGTTGATATGATTGCGTAAACCATTAAAGTGTTCTGTATGGACCCAGAACTGCAGAAAAAGCGCGAACGCAACCATTCCCGCCTGTTACCTGAAGGCGTTTGCGAGACTTCTTAGGTAGCAATCTCTATGTTTGGCGAAATTTGTGGGAAAAACCCAGTGAACAGTACTGTGAGAGAACTCAAAGGAGAGCTGAAATTGGCGGGAGAATCGAATGAAGGCCGGATCCCGAAATGCAGGTATTCAAGGAAACGGATTAACTGAACGGCACGGCAACAGTTAACAGGGGGCGTGGGTTTTATACTGGAAATGCAACTCCTCCCATAACTACAGGCCTTTAAACATATGAAATAAGGAGGCTGCACTCACCTGATCATGCATAAAAGGGGTGCTGCTCGGGCCAATTCATACAATACAAAGATCCAGCAATGTCAAGGTTCACAGATTTTATTAGTTTTGTTTTTTTAAACACCTAATCTAGGCAAAAATAATGGGGATCTAGTTACATTATATGATCATACATAGCATTAGCCTGCCACAATGTCAATATACCCCATCTTTAGCAGGTTCAAAGGACCTTATATTTCCCCCCCAAAAAAATGTACTTGGGCTTATTTTTGGGTGATGTCTTATTTCGGGGCAGAAGCATGTGTGGCAGGTCAACATTTGGGGGAATTCCCCCAAACATAGACCAGTTCACTATGGCATGGAATCCCCCGCATCTAGGTTTGGGGAAACTTTCCCGAACATAGATTAGCTTACTCGTGAATGGAATCCCGCAAATCTAACCCAAACATATTTTAGCGAACTAGCGACTAGGGCTTATTTTCGAGGTAGGCTAGGGCTTATCTTTGAGGGATGTCATATTTTCGGGGAAACAGTGTATTTTGCCTCGATTAGGTGTTTTAAAATAAAACTAATAAAATCTCTGAGTGTTGAAGTTGATGCTTAGTGGATAAGTGAGTGTGCTAGATCTTGTGTATTGTATAAATTGTCGCCTGCAACACCCCATTTGTGCATGTTTATGTGAGTGCAGTCCCATGGTTGTAAAATAAATGTGTGTGAATTTATTTCCTGGCTAATCATGGCAGCATATACATCATGGGTTCGCGCCACACATTAGAGCCAATAGAACAGGAAAAACACTCAATCCTTTAAAAGACCACCAATTTCTAAGATCCCAGTCTTCTTCCTGTCCTACAGCCCTTAGGGAGGGAGTTACTACCTGCCTACAAGCTACGTTGCTTCTATTTTTCATCTTCGTGTTCTTCTTGTATTTATATTAATAAGGATTGCTTTTGTTTAATATTGCTAAATTTATTGTTCCTAATTTGCCAGGGGGAGACTGCCCGGGCTGTCAGGTAGTACACCAGAAGCAGATCGCCACTGAGGTATGTCGCGCGGATCTCCTGGGGCTCAAAGCGGTTATGACCTTCTCTGTGTTCAATTTATTGAGAGAGAAACAAAAGTTGTTTAACTCCTAAATGGCAGAGGATTCAGCAGTTAAACTGTGGGGCATGATCTATACACAAAAAAAGTGCTTTATTAAGCAAAAAATAAAATTCAAAAAATTGTGACTACAGTGCCCCTTTAATAAAAGGAAGTAAATTGTCCCCAAACCAACTCACATTGTACGGAAGTAACACTTACATGCCACCGCCACCTAGGTTTGGTCAGCGAGAGAAAGCAATGACCCAAACTATGAAACTGCAAGCCTGTGTCCCCCTGCCAAAGCACCATACCTTTACTCAGGCCAAGACCAATAATTCTGATCATTTATCTTGTGACTCACAGTTATGTGGGTTTGGCCACCTTATCCCTGAAGGTCATGTCTTCTTTGACAACTGCCAAATTAGCTTCTCTTAGGACTTTTTTAATTTAAGCAAATATCTCATGCATCTGTCATGTACCCTGTGGTTTCATGTGATAGACCTCTGTACTGCTTTTATGAACTTCTGGATATACATATAATGTTCAGCAGCCTTGTTGAGAATCATGGGAATCATATTCCACAACAGCTGGTGTGCTAAATGTTCACTGTCATTGTACTAAATCTGCAAGGCTCGAGCGTCATCAAAAACGAGTGACATCTACAATGTCCATTTCTCCACTTGCTGGAGGAGGACATCCAGTGCTGCAGTAGAGACTCACATATTTGCTTTAACTTGTAGCATATATCTATCTGTAATATAAATATTTTCACAGCGCATACGTAATTTTCTCAGTATGCATTTAGGACTTCTCTTCAACACACCACAAAAAAAAGTCTGATACTGGAAACAAAGATTTGGAGAAGGGGGTTAATCATCAATATGCCAATGATAGCAAGTTTTCTCAAACGTCAAAATTGCATTCCATTAGATCTTCTGCTATTGTTTCCTTCTGTGATTCGGCTGGTAAGTAGACAAACTCAGTAAGTATTGTTCGATGTGTAATGCAGTAAGCAGCCAACAAGGGAAGCTTGACATAGTTGAACAGCTGAATGCAAAGCTTACACTTATCACATATGGATTGGCAGTTCTAAATCTTAATATACATTTAGAAAAATGAGAACATGATAGCAGGCATTTAAACTATACAGTCATTTTAAGTCTACTTGTTTTATCACCGTCTGCTAACAGGCAGTTCAGCAAGTTCATACTTTTGGTGATTGGAAGACACCTCATACATGGTGATTAAAACAAATTTAAATGTAACCAGAACAAATGAAGACACAGACATCTTTTTTTTCTCTCTCTTTTAATAGTGACTTTACTGCAAAAAATCATTAAAAATTTCCTGAACAAATGTTATCTTTGTACCAGCGGCAACTGTCCCTTCCCACCCTCCCACTTATACCTAAAACATAACCCTCCCACCTGTACTTTCACCCACCCAGTGCGTGCCTGGAATTCAGACTTTACTTCTAAGGCTGAAAAATAGTGATTAAAACATTTATTCCCCCGCCCCCGAGGTTCTTTGGTTCAACAATAAAAAAAAAAAGAAAAGAAAATAATACACACAGAAAAAAAAAAAATACACAAGACCACACAAATATTACAAATAAAAATAAAATAAAAACCTTTTTAAAACGTGGCAGATTTTTTTAAATTTGACTGCATGGTTTTAAAAAGGTAGACCAATGTAAAGAAAAAAAAATAGATTAAAATTGTTGCTGAGGTAAATTCGGGGCTGTAAAATGGGCCTACCAAACTATAAAATGATAATGAAGAATATTTGTCCAGTGTATAACACCATCTGTGAAGTATGTATTCCTTGGACAAACTAAATCCATTTCTTTCTTCACGCTTGCTCAGCAGGCCTTATCACAGTTTCAGACCCCTTTTAATATATAAAATTCAGTATTTATTTTCTCAGTGATAGAGAAATGATTTCTGAGGTATGTCAATAAAGCACCAGTTACTCAAACACATTCCTCACGAATAGTAAGAAAGAAAAGAATGTGTTTCCTAAAGACTGCAGCCGGTACAAGACAGATACTTATCCTGGGAAGAATAAGAACAACTGTACCGGAAACATTTTCAAGTTCTATTGGAAACTCAAAAAGTTTAATTTTTGATTTTGAGAAACTGGTGGTGCAGGTACTTCTACAGAATAAAAAATATATATATATCATTACAAATATTGGGAGAACAAAAATATTTGCAGTTGTTTGTGTCCCTCGTGTTAAAAGTTAGGTTGCATGCTAGAGTTCTAAGGAAAATAAAAATATATACGAGTGTTATCTTTAACGAAAACCTGCCGGTCAGCATTAGTATTACATTTCAAGAACTGACATCAAAGCAATGCTATGTCTCAACCTATTCTTAATGAAAAGGGGAATTAATCTTCAAGCAAAAACGAAGCTGGCTTTATAACCAAAACAATCCATTGCTTCCATGTCAGGAGTTTAAAAAAGAAGTTGCAAGAAGAACACACGGCTTACTGAATACCTAGACAGAAAGCTTGCATGCAACAAGTTTTGGGTTTCTTTGGGATATCTCTAACTGTGAACTCTAGACTTACACTAACATAACCTGAAACTACATTGTGGACTGAGGAGAGCAAGAAGAGAGGTATCAAGACTGGGTGCATCAGAGCTAAAGGTAACTTACTTGCCCAATTGATACCTCTCCCTGTCAAATTGCCATTGATCCATTGATATCTTAAATTGGCCCCCTTCTGGACTTAACATCAAGCCACTATCCTATGAATAAGGACAGAGGAAAGTGTCAACTTATAAAGGATGCTCTTTTGCCTATCCTGGAGGTAAGCAAATCACAATAAATCAATGTTTAAGGCATGGGGTCAATCTGCCAGGTTTGTTATGGGTAATTCCAAAGAATTCCTACTCTCCATTCCCACTTTGTTTTATTTTTATAAACACCATTAAAAGTAATGGTTTAAAATTAAACACAAAGAAAATAATTAAAAAATAATAAAACTTCACAAAAATGATTGAAGATGCCCTTTAGGCAACAGGATTGTCATTAACGATGGAGTCTGTGAGAATGCGTTATCAACAGCGCTGTGATTACTCTGCCCCCGCTTTCCCAATCCACTAAATAATTTTATCCTACACTGCCAACTGGGTTATATGCTTTCTCATGTTTTGGAAATCTAGCAAAACATATTTCAAGTACAGAAAAAAAAGTAAAGATTTAAATTTTCTCTTAAATTGTGATCATAAAACAATCTGGATGTCTACGTTATTTGAGGCTTTGCGTTGTATATATTGAGGTTTCAAAGAAAACAGCAAGGACTATAATGTACGGTAGAAAAATAAAAATGAATGTTAAATAAAAAGCGCATTTATAAATACAACTGTTATAAATGAAATTAGATTCCTGAGTGTTAGAACAAACTAACAGAGGGAAGAGAAACAATATGTTGCTGTCATTTCGGGTTCTATCATGGTGTTGCAGGATCCCTCTCTCAGCAATTTGTCATGTTTACCAGCACCAAGGGATAATCAAATTTGATCCAACATACTCCAAATGTATAAGCTAGTCTGTCATTACGAATATGACAAAATGAAATTGCAAAGTAAATGCACTATAGGGTGATATATTTTGCCATTTCCTTTACGAAAAAGAGTTCCCAGGCAACCATGTTTAGTCAAATATTTTATAAAGCCTAGGATGTGACAAATGTTAAGCTTGGATAATCTTTGTAGCACTCCCCAATTAAGGTAAACAGAATGCCCACTCCCTTCAGACATAAAATTAGTGCGTGGTGTGCTGCTTTAAATATTACTTTGTACTACCAGTATGTAAAAATGACATAGCACAACAACTAAAAGCTTCATTTAGCAACCTATAGTATGCATCACGAAGAGCACAAGTTCTCAGCTATGCAACATGACCCTCCCCCACTTGAGTGCCAGCCGTAACAAAGGTTAAAATGTAGGGTGAGAGATGTAAGTATAATGGCAGAGGCCTGAACGACATTGTCATAAGTGACGTTAAGTGTAAAAACGGAAACCGATCCCAGAGCGGAACTGAACCGATTCAATTATTTTATCAGACACAATCTAGAAGATAAAATAGTGAGGTAAGGGGACTACATCTCTTAAAGTGTCAAACAACAACACATCACATCAGAGTATACCAGGAGTTAATAGAACATGTTCACTCTTAATGACAGAGGTCATCTTAAAATCTGCCTTCTGATATAGGATAGCACTAAGTTAAAACTTGTAGCAGTCTTTGCGATTTCTCCTACCAAAAAAAAAAAAAAAGTATTATTCTAAGCACTTCTTGGGATTGTGCGACAGGAGAGAGAGGTACCTGGTTCTGTAAGTCAAGGGTAGACAATACCAGGACTAGTAGAAATGTCCTCTCCATGCCCCTCACATATAGAGCCTATCACCAGAGGATGGTCCCAATCCTTCATTCTGATCCCCCTTATGAGAGACTCCAATGCATCACCCAGGGTAAAAGATGAGCCTCTTCTGCTAACAGAATAGTAAACTGAAAACAGCAAGAGGGTCAGAGACAGGGCAGAGGTACACTGTGCATACAATGTTCCCGAAATGCCATACAGCAGGAAAGAGCTGGTGCTCCGTGGAAAGGTAAAAATGGGGCCCCCCATGCCAGGCCACCATTGTGTCACCACACAAATCCTGCTTATCAATGAAGTTGTGTAATGCCATAAGAAAACATGAGGTAAACTGGTTGTGTAACCTTTCCTTTAAGGTGAGGTAATCTGAGTTGATGTCTTCCTGCAAGCTGAGGTAGGTACGGTTGTGTAACGCTTTCTTGCGGAGGAGGTAAGTAGTTTCAAGGTCATTCCCTCCCAAGCATGGGGGTTATGTTCAGAGGGACCAGCTGGTGGAAGGTTCAGCACCCGGTGTGCCCCGTGAGGAAGTGGGGCTTTGCGAGGCTTGAGAGGTGTTGCTACTGCTGCCACTCCCACCGCTCTGCCCAGTGTACCCCGCAATTAAGGGAACTGGTTTTTGAGCATATAAAATGCCTAGAAGAGAAAATTAATACATTTGAAAAACAACAACATGTCAAGCACAAGAATGTCAATGTAGAAACACAGAAAACACAATCAACAGTATTATAGACTCATGATTGAGGATACAAGGGGCACTCCATTGATCATAATAACTATAGTGCATTTGCGCTCTTAGGGCCTAAAGCCCAGACTCAACTTAGCGAATGTGAATTCTTACATGACCCACCTTACTTTGGATAGCAATATAGCCTGGGATAGCTGGACTAACTCCTATTGCTTAGTCTGGGACTGTCATCCTTACTACAACACGTACCAAGTGTTTGCATAATTCCCCCTCCCCCATAGGTTTGTATGAAAACGAGACACAGGTTTCAAACCAAGAAATAACAAGATTGGGATACATTGGCTATCTTAGAGTGTGAACTCACACAATGCTCTGTAGAATGTTTTCATGATTCCAGGTATAGTGCGATAATTTATTTTCAAACACTAGTGAGTCGATAAATAAGACCTCCTCTCCACCCCCCCCAAGTTATAAGAATCCTAATATTCCTGACTCAGAAAATGAACTGACCTGTGTACATTGTTCCATTAATTTCAATGGACATATTGATGCTGCCGGTGCCCAGGTTGAGAGCTCCGTCTTGCCGATCCTGTGCTGCTAGGGAGAAGAGAGAAGTTATATGTATGTACTAAGAGCATGACATTGTATATGAAACAGGAAGGAAAGAGGGAATATGAGAGATCTAGAAAATGGGTGGTGTGTCTAATACACCATAAACTATAATTTAAGTGATATGATTTGAACTTAGGCTACAATAAGTCACCAACCCCCCCTCCCCCCAAAAAAACAGCGCTATCCATCCTTTCTGCATCTCACCTTTACCATTTATCTTGAGTTTCATCGGGATCTGCCGTGCCATGTTCAACAGGTTGTGCTGGAAGGCCTGCTGCATGAGCCTCTGCTGTTCTTCTCCAGACACCTTTGAAAGCCGTTTCTCCAGTGGCTCGCCTGAGTCCAATCT